TTCTTTGTACATAATGGCGACTGGGGCCACGCCATCGGCTCCGTCATGGCCACGCTCTACCCGGAACAGGTGAGCTATCAACGACGTCAGCACAGTTCTTGTACCATATGGCGACTGGGGCACGCATCGGCTCCGTCAATGGCCGCTCTACCCGGACAGGTGAGCTATCAAGAGGCCGCTACAGCCGTTTCGGTGCGACGGCGACTGGGGTCACGTAATTGGCTACGCCATGGCCACTCTTTACCCGGACAGGTGAGCTATCTAAGAGCCAGAACACTAGAGTGCAGATGGGCGCTTGGGCCGAAAGCAGTTCAAGCACGTCGGTGACTCGGGCAACGCCATTGGTTCCCCCATGGCCATACTGAACTCCGTTCAATAGGTAAATACAGTAAAGTAATGAAAGTTTCCATTTGAAACTACGGTGGCAAAATATATTTGTTCAAAGAATGTCAAGAGAAATAACGTAAATTAATATCATCTATTTACGCTTTAAAATAGTAATTTGGTGATCCTGAATTTTAAGAGTTAGAAAGCAACAACTGGGCTGTCGTTACTGAAATTTCGTGAATAACCTGAAATCCTTTCCCTTGTAAATAAGTGATGTTACTGTAATGAATGCGTGTGCGCACGTGACGTGTGAGTGCGTGCGGATGCAGTACTATCCATACCCGCCTCTCGCACGGCGAGAAGAAATGCACGAAGAAAAGCCACTCAGCGTATACTCTACTGCTGGCTACATACCCCCACAGCACACACTTGCATCCGGTGTATCGGCAATGTAGCCAAGAAGGATACTAAAAGAATGGTTTGGAGAGCTACCTCCAATGACTAGCTGGATTAATACTAATGTCATAAAAGTAAGATAAAAGAAGGTGATAGTTCCTTTTGGAATTAATGTATAAAATTTATGATATAAGCAATACAAAATGAATAAGCAGTTATGTATTACCGTACTATTTACAAATTGAATGCTGAGCCCGTTCGGTGAATTTTTAATAAATATTCTAGGTCTTAATATTAGTAACGTACAAAAAACGAAGCAAAGGTTTTTAAATTGATTAAATTGAAGAAAAATAAATTAAAAGAAAAGTTTATACACTGATGAGTGAAACCAAAGTTAAAAATAATTAATAAAATAATATTGCCTTGTACAGAGCTCTTCAATTTGATTGTCTTTCATAAATCGGCGCCCTCGGTGCTGTCACCGAGGGCAGTTGGTATACAGTAACGTTGTACGTTGTGTCCGTACAGTTGAATTCGTACCGATGATGCCGAGTTGGAGCCTTGCGGCGATGCGGATGTAATGACCAGCTGAGCGAAAGCTCAGAGTCCTGATGACCAGATACGTGTGCCGCCACGGACTAAGTTTCCCTGTCGCGCCGCAAACGTTGCGAGTGAAGGCGTAAAAAACGTGCCAATACGGCATACGCTAATGGGCAACTTGTAGTCCTAATCAACTGTGAAATGAGCAGCCTTTTGCCCTAATTAATCGTGAAGATATCTTACGGCATGGCAAAGCGCAAGTGCCGACTGCCAGCATAGAGCACTTGGAGTTCACATGGGTGGTGCAAATGACTGCGCGAATCTATCGTGATGAATAGCGTGAAAGAATATGGTGGGGCGCAGCGACTCTCAAAATATGTAGAAAACAGCCCCTTCACGCGGCGAGGCGCTCGGGGAGGGATGGTCTAAGTTGGAGCGGTTACTTTTCTTGCCATCCGTGAGACAGCGCTCCGGAAATCTCTGAGACACAGGGCGGGACGCGCCCGAGGCGCCGCCCAACCTCCGCATGTGGGAGTAATTCCAAGAAGCTAAACAAAAACAGCAATAAACGTGCCCTGAGCAGAGGCGACGGAAATATTGTCGGTGCGCAAGTGCAAATTATCTTGCAAGGGGCGGCGCCTCCACCCTGAGGAGCGGGGCGTCGGAGGCGGGCGTCGATGACACCGGCCGAGGCGGCGCAAATGATCAAAGTGGCGCTCTTGAAGGGATGAAGAGGGGGCACTTCGGCGGCCAATGGGAGAACGCTCCGTAAGCTGTGAGACAATCGCGCCGTCGCCTGTGGGCGTCAGACACCTCAGAAAGGACGCAGGTCAAAGGCATTGTAATAGTCTAGTAAGGTCGCAGATAGATAGACGCAGAAGCAAAAGACGCAGATCGACATAAAATCGTGCTCGTCGAACAAGTGTTTTGAAGGACCGCGAATACAGAGGGGGAGCGACGGTTTCAGAATTTAATATTAAATTAATAAATAGAATAAATACTTGTAAATTTAACGTCATATTTGTCAACATCGTTGCACGAAAGAAAAAATACTCCATCTACGTTTTTGATTGTGATTTAATTGGAATAAATAGCCTATTTTGCATCTTTAATGACATATTTAAAATTTCTATTCATGTTTTTATGGACCAATAAAATATTCAATTTGAAAAAAAAATTGCGAGCCCTATCGACGTGCTTAGTCTGAAAATGTATTAGTCCACACCCTGGTCAGTATCGATTCCAGTTTTTGTGTTGCGAAATATCAAACTCTTGCGTTTGTTGTTGCAGTATCTTGGGTTTCCACACCACTTCATGCTGGTCGAATCAGTTAGCGGCTTCATTTAAGTTGACACTGGCCAGTCTTTACCCCAGTTACTTCATGACGGATGAAGAAATAAAGCGAGCTTACCCTCAAGGACAACAGTTCATGTTCACCCTTGAAGAATCGGGATACTTTCACATACAGGCAACCAAACCAGATACTGTCGGTGAGTCCATCTTAAAAGTTTAATTTATTTATTTATATATTTGTTTATTTACCTCGTAACCCATGGCTGCAAGGCCAGGACGCTGCTGGTAGGTCTTAGCTCTTAAAGAGCGGTTGCCAAAGTACATACAAAATAGAGATACTAGTTTGATACTTAAAATTTCCTTCGAATTTTATAGTATTGATATGTTAACTTTTTGCAATTTTCGAAAATACAGAGAGTTTGCCGGAAATGGGACCAGAACCATATTTTTACCGTTCTTTGATACACATGAGGAGAAAATTTAAAGAACAAAATTGGAACAGTTTTTGAGAAAATTATTTTTATAAATTGCATTTATTTCAAACACAAATTACAGAAAAATACTAATTTATTCAAAAACTTGTAAATGGCATTTCTGTAAGAGCTCTAATAGGTGTTAAGAGCAAACATGTATTTTTAACATTGAATTTTGATTAAATTTGCAATTTGAAAATACAGTGAGTTCGCCAAAAATTCGACTAACACCACGTTTTTACTGTCCTTTGATACGTACGATGATAAAATTTAAAGAAAAAATTGGAGCAGTTTTTGTGATACAACTGTTTAAAAATTTTAAAATTACTATGTCACGCAAAAGTACGGGAAAACTACTCCTATTGAAACATAATTCTCATTTAAATAATCTTTTATTTCCATTGCCAAACATTGGGCAAGCTATTTGACACACTCTTTATATTATTCAACTACTTATTAGCTTTCATTTAATAACTTTCGTTAGGATGGACGGCCATTTATAACATTTCTAATTTTCCTTTTGATATTAACAATGTAATTATTTCTTTCGTTGCCCTGCTATGCACAAATTTTCTCAATATTGAAATATTAGTATACTAACTTAACTTTCAAATCTAATGATGAGTTCGACACCCAACTTTTCTCGTCTTACTCGCTGCATGTAGACGTACAATCCTATACAGAATCACGATTTCTGAAAGTCTTTGGATCAAAACTAACTATTGAATTGATGGCAATTACTGTGAATTATCAGCCTTTTATCTTTTCAAAAATGAAGTGTAACATTTACTGTAACATCTTTACACAATTCTTTAGAGCTTATGAATTAAATAAATATTTTTTTATCTGAACAACAATAATGTACCGTACGGTTTTAAAATAAAGTTCGTAAGCTTACTATTGACTTCTCAGATGACCTTGTCGGCTGTCTTCGTGCTCGACGTTGTCTATGGAATGTCCTCAATACCCCTATTATTGTTTTTGCCTATCGTCACAATAAATAACCGCATGTTCCAGGAATGTCCTCGACTATTTGATACTTTATGTAATTCAACCATGTCCCTCAAATTATTTTGCGAACGCGACTAGCCCTCGCTCTGTTTCGGGCGAAACAATTATCCGCGACTATCTCCAGCTGACGAATAAAAAAATCCTCGTCGGCAACTTTCGAGAGAATGCTCATTTCGCCCTTCCCGTAAGATCTCGGCTTCCAATGCATTCTTCAAACATATCGCATGTAAAGACTACGGGGCTGAGATGCCACCCAAAAACGTGACGCTCTGACATCCAAGCTTGGAATCTTATACTTGATGATTCGTTACATTAACATCTATTCGTTGGATATGAAACGTTGAATATGCGTTTAATCCCATCGTAAATACATGCTTGATGATAATTTTCCCTTGCAACATATCGTGGGGTCTTTGGGCTTATCACAATATTTTCAAAAAATTGCACATGATCTTATTTCAAGATCTGTCTTTAAAGAACAGATTTCATTAAGGAGAAAATCTCTAAATTCAATATTGCAGTTGAAGAAAGACGTGAAAAATAACCTTTTGCAATTTTCGAAAAAACAGGGACTTTAACGAAAATGAGAAGTGCACAATTCTCTTAAGCGTCCTTCACAGTGCCAGAGGACAAACTTCAATAAAAAAAATTGACAAATTTTTGACAAAATTTTGAAAATGATATGGAGGCTTCTTGTGAAGTACCCTAGTGTGTCGGCATACCTGCTCGAGTAGTCGTTCGCGTGTGCGGAGAAGGAATGGTACTCTTTTTCTGATTTTGCATTTTCTTAGTCTAAATCTCACTTACCTCTGGGTCTTTAGGAGTGGCCCTGCGAGACTCCCCTGCAGGGCTGGCGGCGTACATCCTGGAGAAGTTCTCCACGTGGACGGAGAAGGACTGGCGTTCGTTACCCGATGGCGGTCTCACCAAGAAGTTCACCCTCACCAAGCTGCTGGACAACGTGATGATCTACTGGATCTCAGGCTCCATCACCACCAGCATGCGCCTCTACAGTGAAGCCTTTTCCTTGGCGAATCTTGGACTTAAAATAGATGCGTAAGTACAATATTTTACATTGGGCATAGGGACTTAGAATTGAAATTCAAAACATTAATCAGTAATACATTTAAAAAACGAATTTATGGTTGGTATTTTTCAATGGAGAATTAATATAATTGTCATTTATTGTAGTAAAACTGACTACTATTTAGATAAATAATTAAACTAGATGGTAGTAATCACGTATATGAGACGTAAATGAAAGCGTGAAAACCAATCGCTGAGAAGGCTAAGACTTTATCTCTAGGAACAGAATCGAGAAGAAAGTGAGAAATGTGGAGAGGGAGTTACATCAATGTAGAAACAACTCTCGAACAACCTCTTTATGTACCGTAATACTCGACTTGAAACCAAGGGTAACATGGGAATGAAGGAAAAGAAAAAATGGGTATTTACTCCAAATTCCTATTTTCTTAATAGGTCCAGAATTTATATATGAAGAAGGGTGTTGTTATTAAAATGTGAAGACATATTCCTAAATTTCACAATAACACATCCAATTAGCTAATCAAAATCCCCACTTATCTGTTGCCTATTCTTTGCCTATTGCACACCAATGAATAATGAAAATAATTGCGAATGACGATAAACGAAATACAAACCCCGCGTGACATGAACGACGTAACGCGGGACATGTGATAAACAACGTACTAGTGACTGGAATAAATGTATATATTCCATGTGCAGGGTTCCTACGGACGTCCCGACGGCTGTTGTCAACTTCCCGAACGAGCTTGTGTTCACGCCCCGGTTCATCGGCGCGGACAAATTCAAGAAAATCGTGCACTTCTCCCACGCACCTCGAGGTGGACACTTTCCTGCACTGGAGGAGCCACAGTTGCTGGCGGACGACATCTGGGACGCCTTCCCCAAGCTACTGCACGCTGCGGCAGCCAAGGCACAGCACAAGGCCAAATGATCCTTCCCCCTGACTATCTGTACATAGCAATCTGCAGTGAATACATTTTGTACACAAATTGATACATCCAGTGACTTCTCATTTTCCCCTCTAACAAGTCATCTTTATCTCTTTCCAATTCCTTTCCTTCTCCTTTCACCCACTTCCAAACGCTGGAGGAGCCACAGCTGCTGGTAGACGACATCTGAGACGCCTTCCCCAAGCTGCTTCACGTGGCTGCCGACTGGGCGCAGCACAAGATCTAAACTAGGGCTAAACAGATACAAAGGGTACTAAATAGATAGAAACGCTCTGACTGCTGACTAGTAAATATCGGACCTCGTGAGTCGCTGCCGAATCCGGCTGCTGTTAAGTCAGAACACCGGCCCCGCTACACAGCGCTGAATATTGTAGAAATATTCCCAGAATCTTCTCCCAGGAGCTGAATATCTTCTAAGTTTGAAAATTATTTTTAGGACTTAGAAATATTTTCGTCAGCCCCTCCCGGAACTTTTCGAAGCTCTGCTTCGACGGGACTTTTAGAGCTTGTCCTTTTCAGGACTAAACTCTGCAAGTCGTTTTTAAGATTTACTACTTCTGTTCTCTAAGAGAAGTTACTTTCTTAAGAAAGAGCATAAATGCCGTTCCAATTTTCAGTAATGGAGAACACGTACGGCGTTCAACGGGAACCTGCCTCGCTTTCTGCTGCTTTGCGCCATTTAGAATAGAGCGCGTGCCGACACGTGCGCGCGCGCGCCAACTTCAAATGTAGCTGTGTTTACAGGAGCAGTGAACACAGGTTCTACACAAATGGATATTTCCGATTGCTTCTTATTTTCTCTCTGACAAGTTATTTTGACCGGTCTCCAACACCTTTCCTTCTTCTGTGAGTCATATTCCAGCGAAGAAGTAGCCACAACTGCAAAACGTAGTCAGAGCTTCTTGGCTGTCAGGATGACGCCGCGTCGTTGGCTGAGAAGCCGGTGACCAACTAGTCACTACCCTGAGGAAGCCTGCGATATGTCATGAACTCGAGCCGCGGAACTTACGTGTACAAAAATTAGTTAAGTTAGTAAATTTAAACTGCAAACATGAGATAATGCAAGTGTTTTTACCCGTAGAGGTGCCTCAGTGTATCAACTGATGGTACTGCAGTCCTTCTTACCGACAGGTCCTAGGTTCGAGTCCCGACAGAGGCAAGATTTTCTACATTGGTTTGTCAGCTAAGTCAAATTCATTCTCTGTGTGAAGAATAATTTTAGGGGCCAGATGATCTGATCGGTAGTTTTCCGTGGTTTCTCCAATCAACACCACGCGAATGCCGGATCAGTACTCTAACAAAAAGGCCACGGATCGCGCATATCTTTCCTTCCTCTTCCTTGTACAATCCTCACCCCCTTACACACACTTACACTAACATGCACTACACTACCGCACATGCCGGGAGAACGTTCACGAGCTTAGAGCTTGCCCGAGCTGGGGCAGTGGGCAGCTGGTGAGAGATACCTGGTTGAGGAAAACCCAGCAAGCCGACGGTAGGTCGGCGTCGGATCTCGCCATCCAGCGCGAGGAGGATCACCGCCACATTACCAGTAAAACATGCACTATGCTTACGAGAAAAAGGACCTCTTTGGTTGACGCGCCCGGAATAGCTACGCGCGCACTGGATCGGTACGGCACGGACGGACGTCAGTTTTTGTGTGGGTCGCGCGCACTAGGACGGCACGGACACTTCGGACACTTCGCTCCGTGTGTTGTATTGTGCGCGACGGCTTCATAATCCAAGTAAATAAGTAATAGCGTTGGGTTCGTTTTTAATATCAGAAGAAGGGAATTAGGCGAGGAAACGAAGAAGGTCGAAATTATCTTCTAATTAGAACGATAATAACGAAAAGGGAATTTCATACATTATCTCTCGACATGGAGGAAGATGAAATATAATTTCAGTTCTTTAAGATGTCTCACGATAAGTTTGAAGCTAAATTGGATATTTTGAAGAATATAAGATATAAATAAATATGTTTGTAACACAATTAAATTGAACTAAGGGACGGACTCATATTTGCATCACTTTTTTTACAAACTTAATTGTCGAAAATAATATCAGTGCCGAAAATAATCGACACTGATAAGATAATAATTAATGCAAAATGCATGCAAAATTTACATTGATTAATTAAATAATGCACTACTCCGAAACATGGCGTAATTTATTCACTGTGCACAAATATATAAAGTATGCGTCATGGCCGGTTTTGGAGGCGTGCAGAGCTACGGCGAAGCGATGTACGGATACTCTCTTAAATTTAGAGTGACTGTTGTGCTCCCGTCGTCTTTCGACTACGAGTCTTTCTTTCTCACCAATACAACTGCGGCAACAGCTGCCTGTGACTGAATACACTCTCAACATTTGAAGCGGAAGCTGGTCTTTGACTGCCGCCAAAGTTTGGTCGAGTTTGTGGTGCACCCTAAAGGTCGTCTTGATCCTGAAACGTCTCAGGAGTTTGCCGATTCTTTCTGTTACTCCTTGTAGGTAAGGGAGAGAGGCTGTTGCCTTGGCCTCGGTCCCCGTGTCGAGGGGTTCTCTTGCTGTTGGCAGGTCGGAAGAGAGTTTCACAGCTCTATTGGCGATGGACATGTAAACATTGATCGCGATGGTTGTTTGCAGTGCTACACGTTCAGCGAGGGTTTTCGGTTAACAGTTCGGTCAGCAGTGACATTACTAGCCATTCTAGCGTTCGGGGCAAACAAATCTCTACATTCGCCTAAACATTATTATAGTTAATAATATAGTATGTTAAGTAATCACAGAAAATATTGAAAATTACGAAGCCAACTAGTGTACAAAGACGTTTAGAGGATTGATTGTATCTAGTTTAATATACTACCACAAGTTTTTGATAATTACACCTAACTTTTTTCTTAAAAAATAATAAAAATATTTATTGCGCCAATTAAAGGTTTTATCGACAATTAAGTTTTAATTTATTTTGTAAATTGTAAAAGCATTAACGTTAAATTCATTTTACATGTCGATTTTTCTGTCATCGCTCTGTGGCGACGTGACTATCAGCGCATGTCGACAGTTATGCATTTTCTAGTATGAAACCGGCCAGTAGATGGCACATCTATGACGCACTGACAAGTGCACTTCTAGGTGCTGTGATCTCGTAGCCTTCAAGATCTTAAATGGCTAGCATTATGGCGCATGCAAACAATATGGATTCTCGTGCTCTGCGTGACATCAGGTTTTCTCGTTCAAAATATCACACGCCAGAGACCAGACCAAGCCAGAAGTAGGCGCGTTCAACCCGGAAAATGAGAAAAATACTGAATTTTGTTTTTTATTTTTAAAAGAATCTTTAGACTTTTCTGAACAATTTGATTTTTAATAGAAATTGTTGTTTTTACTTTGAAAGTTATCTTATGCTGCAAAAAATCGATTTCGAGATTTCAATGTAAATACACATTTTGGGGTCCAATGATACCGAAAAAATGTATTTTTTTCAAAACATCCGTCTGTCCATCTGTCTGTCTGTCCATCTGTCGGTCATCAGTCTATTAATACCACTAGAACCTAAACGATACGTACTATTTTTTCCAAAATGGATGTTCCACGGTCGATCTGACTTCACACGAGGCGCCGTGATTTTGAAAAACTAGAGTTCTTGATGTTCTCTATGAGATGACATAAACATCAGTTTGATCTATTCTTTTCTTTTTCAAAAATTACAAAAATGTAATTTATTTGACTTGTCTCTCACGTTAATATTTACATTCATGCCAATTTGTTTCCATTACTACATTTATTTGTACATGTTTTTTTCTTCAAACTATTGTAACGGATAGTGCTAATTGGCCTCTTTTATTGCACCTCGTTAAGTTCATTTCAGGGTATTTTTTTGTTTTTCAAAAATTACACAAACATTTTTTTGAAATCTCTCTCACGGCTTTAATATGCACATTTCCAGCAAATTGCAAACACTATTGAATTTGCGAGTTAATATGCTTTAAATTACTTCTAATTAAGTTTTCCGACATCTCAAATATTTTCTGTGAAAAAGAGCTTCAAATTTACAGTAGCGCTTGAACACCATTTTCTTAAAAGCGAGTGAAAATTTTAAATTATTTGTCAGATACTACATTTTTACGAATAGTAAAGTGATTAACATTAACATTATATTTAAAAATGTATTCTCTGAAGCGACGAGAAAATAAATCATTTTTATGAGGTAATGAATTTGTTGTTTCGAATGCATTCATAATGGGATATATTGGATGGCATTTATTTCTGGATTTGATTTATTTGTGAAATTATCCTTGCTTAACTGTATGATGTGCTGGAAATAAAAAAAATGTTTATAATAGTTTTCGTTCGTTTACTATTTTTTTTTTCAAAAAATTAACGTACGAACTTACAGCTCAGATGGCAGCACAGATGAAACGTTGAAATAATTGTATATATTCGAGACAAGCAATAGTGTTCCATAAAGAACGCCATAGAAGAACTTTCTTGAAACCACAACAATTCACACAGAAAAAGAGTTCTATTCAAGTCAAAAATGGCGCTTTTAGTAAGAATTGATGAGAAAATATGTGCCCATTGTTAGCAGCGCCCATCGTTGCATGCGCTATTTGTTGTCAGCGTACATTGACTGAGAAGTATTGATGTTGACAGAAATGCGATATAATATTATTACATAACCGTTACTAAGGACCGAGAAAGCATGGGCTGTTTTATCATATTAATCTAGTTTCTTTATCAATCTCTACCGCTCATTGATTTTAAAATTTCAACGTCAATTGTGTGCAGCATAACATAACTCTGTGTTTGCTGTATATCCGCACATGCTAGATTTACGTGAAATAAAATTGTTTTTAGAAATACAAAAAAATCCACATAAATAT